CGGCGCCGCGGCCGTTGGAGAGGGCGTTGTGAGACCGGCTGTAAACAATGGAAACTTTCTCCTGCCCGAAGGGTGCCGCTGCCTCCTGGCCCGCTCCGCCGGGGCCGCTGCGGGCAGTGGGCGTGCGAGGTTAGCGCCGTCCGCAGCCGCCTCTTTCCTCGGGGGTGACAGTTAATTTGCTTATTTTTTGCAGAAACGAGCTGCTGGATGTAGAAGGAAACTAAGTGGTGCACACGGAAAATGCCTCTAAGGGACAAGTGTTGCCAGACTGACCACCATCACCATGGATGCTGTGAACCAGGTACAGCCGCTGTGATGGTTTGGCTGCTTTACTTCTTCCTTAAAAGCTTGTGGAAGCTGTTGTGATGTTGCAGATGTGCATCATGAGTGACAGTTTTGGATATAAAAAGTTTGTGCATTCTGGTTCGAAATGTTTTTTTGGTATCTTTCAACTGTCACGTTAAAATTATTTCAAGAAGACAATTTCTCCGTTCAGGATGTGTAATAGTCCCCAAGCCACCACATGGGCATTGTGTGCGGTGAGCAGAGCAAGGCAAGAAGTTGTGTAAAACAACTGGCCTTTTTGTTTCCAAAAAGTGTAATATTCTGAATTTTTGTAAAATATTTCTGGCAATCTCTTGCATTCGCTGATTATCTTTTTACTTTAAAACTTCTCTGGCAAGCTCTGATGAACTGAAATATCTTATTTTCAGAGAAGGAAAAAACCCCACAAAGTTCTAAAATGTATATTTGCATTCCACTGCTGTATGACACGGAAGATGCCATCAGTGGAAAGTATAATGCATACTGTGAAGGTTCAGCCAACTTGCTAGCTTTTTTTTTTTGTAATTGTTCTGCCTACTGTTATAATTGGTAGCCTAAAAGGAAATTGGGCTCCTTTCTTGTTGCTTTGTTGCAGAGTTTGTTACTTGGATGCTTTCACTTGTGCTTTGAAAAGAAAGGCATCAGTTTGGGGAATTACTAGTTGAAAGCGTGAGCATGGCAACTTTGATAATGCTCCTTTAATTAAATGTAATTTGGGAGTAGGTATTGTTCAGCTGGTAGAAACATTTCTTTGTGTTTAAGATGGAATGGTTTTCAGTTATAATGCTTTAAAAAACACTAAAATACATTTCTTGCATTACAAATAACAGCAATGTGTTATGGCTGCTTCATGTATGTAACTCCTCTTGATGTCAGTGGGTGTTGCACCTGCATATTAGAGGCAGTATACAAACTAAAATATACTATTTTGAAGAATAGGGAATAGGCTAGTAGAATACAATATGTCATTGTGTTGGAGATCCCCAAACGATTAGCTGATTTGTAATGGTTGTTATGTGTTCGTATATATAATAGTATATTATGGGGCCAGCGTAGTTGGGTGGACTGCTTGTTCTATCGTTCTTTTCTTAGGCTGCTTTTCTTTCTGACATTCTTTTCAGCTTGAATTTATTTATAACCTTACGTCTTTTAGAACAACTTTCCTGTCAAAGTGCGTTTATTTGCACTTAATATCTCCACATAGTTTTATACTACATCTCTACTTCTCTTTATTAAAAATAAATTTCTTAGAGATACTCAGTGCTTCATTTAGAAATGGAAACCTTACAATGAGGTTAAAAATCAAATGGATAAGGTAGGAGTTGATTTATGAACTACAAAACTAGTTATTTTGTCAATGAGAAATTAACAAGAAGACCTAACTAATGATTTTGCAAATGCATTCTTGAATAAGTGCTCTTGCTCATTTAAATTTGGTTTTTCATCTGGGCAAAACTTATTTGCCTTATGCATATACAGCAGTGGAATGCTATTAATCTTCATATGCATAAATACTGCGTATTGGAAGAACTGATAATCATCCTGATCAATAGATGTTTTAGTTTCAATAGATTTTACAAACATTGTGATGTGGAATGAAACTTCAGAAATAAGGTATTACTTCAGCAGTTTGCTTGAACCGGAAGCATTTCTTGAATGTGCTTTTATTGGTTAAAAATATCATAATAGCTATTTTTGGTACATACAACTTAGTTATAC